GCGGGTTTGCTATTGCGCATGTTGTGTATTAAGTTTCTATAATTTTAAGCTCCCTTAGATCTAGAGCTAGCAGCTTACGGCCTTACTCGGCCAACTCTATTTCGTGACTTTCGTTGCTGTGTCTACGTATGCCTATGCCAAGGAGGAGGACACGCATCGCGTCACACCTCTTCTTTCTTCTCCCGCGCTCCGGGCGTCGTCAGCGGGCTATGTCGAACGGAGTCAGCCGGACTACCCAAGATCCTGCCGGAATTTTCGCGCGGACTGTCGTCGTCGCCACTCTTCTCTTCCAGCGCCCTCCTCATCACCCTCTTCTTCCTCTTGGCGTCTACACTGTGCCTCCATTCCTTGCCGCACCGGATCGATACGTACGCGCACACGGCACCCGAGAAGACGAACAGCGCGCTGAGCGTCGAGAACCATCCCACGCCGATGTTGTTGATAGCCGGGAGCACGATGGCCGTGCTGGCGCACGCAAACAGGTAGCGCATCGCGTAGTTCCCCGCGATGACCTCGGCCCCGCGGCCAGGCATCACGTCTAGGCAGTACGTATTTAGGGACGGGAAGCAGAATAGCTGCGCCACGCCCTGTAGAAACAGCATCACGACCGTCAGCGGGATGCCGCCGACGTCCTTCTCCACGCTCCAGCCGTAGATTAGGACACAGCCGGGGATTACAATGCCCATGAAAGGCAAGGCTGAGTACATGCGGTCTTCGGGGATGCGGACGCCCCGCTTCTTGATGTATTTTTTAACCATGTAATCCGCGTATCGTCCCCCGACGAACGTGCCAACGAGGTACCCGCAGCCAGGCGCGAGATAGAATAGACCGCCCTGCATAGGCGTGGTGAGATTGTATCTCGGATTTATCACGTAGCGGATTGGCGTGAGCAAGGAGTACATATTCCAGACCAAAGACGCGCTCGACAAGCCCGTAAGAAATAGATTCGGGTATTCCCACAGCCGCACCACGCGCCAGGGGTTGATCATAGTGAGCACAACTTTGACCTTCGCTACGCCGCTATAGCCCACTAGATCATCAATCTTCATATGGTAGATGGTCTCGGGTAACAAGAAGTAGGACCCGACGGCGGCAATGCCGGCCAGCCCTGATTGTAGCCAGAATATCACGCGCCACGAGGTGTATGTGACGATGATGCCACCTATGAAGGGGCCAAGGGCCGGTCCTACCAACGTCCCAGAGAGAAACCAGCCTGTGGCTGTTCCTCGTTCTGTCGGGCGGTATATGTCACTATGGGTTTAGTAAGTAGTCTGGTCATTACATGACTGTATAGTTCAAGGATAGCGGAGATATTGCTGACCCAATGACCGAAGCACCGACTAAGATGAATGATGTGCCCTCGAATGCCGTCAGCAGTCTGAAAACGAAGAAAGCCACTAGGTTAGGCGCAAGCGCCGTTCCAATACTACATGCAAGGAATCCCACGGCCGTTATAAGGGTTATCTATAAGTCCAACATGTTAGCTCTTACGGGCCGTTCCTGTACGTGTTTCTTTAGTCATCTCAGCGATGAGATTGGCATTAAGAGAGCCTTACCATCCTCCTGCCATATACTTGGCTTAGTGGTCCCCAGAAGATGGGCGAAATGCCCATAAACAGCATGTATAGGGCATTGACAAGATTAATGATAGAACCCGTAGTGGAGTACTCGGCCGCTACTTCGGGAGTTGCCGCTAGCACAGATGTGCTAGACACGGGCGACAGGAACGAGCAGAACGACAAGAGAAAGACGATGACTAGCTTCCTGTGCGGGGGCAGTCGATCGTAAACTTCGTCCGGAACTTCTACTACCGAGCTGACTGGTTCAACTGGCATATCCGGCCCCAACGACTGGTGGGTTGGGTACCGCTCTAGCTCCCCGTCATCGGTAGTGGGCCGCGCCGCTGGCCGGATGGACTCTATTGTGTCATCCGAGTGGGTTGAAGAGCTACTCGAAGATGAGCGTGAGGGTGAGTTATGGTTCTGACCGCCATGACCAGCGGCTTGTAAATGGGTATCTTTGGAGTCGAACATCAGGAAGGATTGTGGTGTTTATGTCTATAAATATGAGCTCGACGACAATGTTCGTGTCATCATAGGCAAACCCCCAGATTAGACAGAATGGCAAGCTTCACAGCTGGCTACCGAGAGATATACTCAAAGAATCGAGGGACAATTATCTTTATTAAGGATCGTCTTTTCTGAACACAACACAGCTATGAAAACTAGCAAGACGAGAAGGAAATGAATGACTTCATCCAGTGCTGGCAAGGGGGAAGTACATCCTATTTACACGAATACTAACCAGCCCGCCGAAGGTAGCAATGGTATAGCCTGTTGGGCTTTGTATTTCTTTTCTCTCGGTCAACATTGGTCGTCTCCAGGGACAAAGACTTACTACGCCGAGTATCGGTGGGAAGCTTGGCCGAACTTGGCTTGATATGGCATAGCGATATGATGCTAAATGGTTGTTTAAAACTTTTAGGTGGATATCTACCGGCTACATGCCGATGATGGGGCCCCATTGGTGCATTTGTAGCCGTGGTCCCCACGCTCGTTAATTTAAGAATTCTGAAGCTTTTGCCAAGGATTCGCAGGTTCGCCAGTAAGCTATCCTCGAAGCTTATTTATGATGGGGGCGTACTTAGGTATGTCAGATTTAATGGTAAAGTCCCATCGAAAGGTTTAGTGCTTCTATAGCGGTGAGAGCCCGATCCGAGAAGAGTTAACGGCCTGTCCCGGGGTGGCGCCGTAGACTCACGGCGAAAACCCGATGACGATCATGATGGATGTTTGCCAGACTAGCGAACTAGTACTAGGTAATAACTTGGCGATACGAGATCTGAATAAAATTTGATCCTTGTGCTATTGTAGATTTTCGTACAGATTTTCGTACAGATGAGCTGGCCTATTAACGTTTGTAGCCGGGGTTTATTCCCGTTCTCGTACTCACTTAAACTCACTTACCCGACGCGGGATCGGTATCTAACCGCATAAGGCGAGATCACCAAGTCCGTTTCCGCTGCGAAAGTCGCTTTGAACAGAGTGATTTAGATGACTAACATGTGCTATGTTTAAATATAGGCAATTATGGTGTTCGGTAGGCTTATTAATACCTCGTCTTTAGTGGAGGCAGCATGTGAAGAGAAGATCTGGCCCGGTAGAAAAAGGCTGATTCGTTTGCCGGCCGGCTGTCGGTTAAGGTTGCAGGGGGTGTTTTTGACGATCATAGGACTTGTAAAATAGAGATACCTTATCTGGTTTTCGTAAGGGAAGACCGATATGGTGGCATTGAAGGTATGCCACGTTTGACCAGTTATGGAGCTTCGATTGCTGTAATGTCTTCACCGACAACAACCAATAATTGATGTTGTGTTGTCGTTTAAGGCTGGTAGAGGTACCTTGGTACATGTAAGGAGTTAAGAACTCACCTCAAAGGTTTGCCGATGTGGCTGTGGCATGTGTGGCTAAAGATAATCCTAGCCGAGTGCTCAGACCACCTGAGCAGTTGACTTTATAAAAACCTTCCGTTGCCTTAGGTAATCAGCCCAATTCACAAAGTTCAATTTCCCCCTCCATGTAAATTTAGCCGTGGTTTAACCTTACCACGCACACATCTCAATTCCGCGCAAAAATCGATTTGAGCAAAGCTCCACGAAATAATCTGTACACCATCAATCATCGACACTTTTCAAGACTACAGCCCCCATCACTGCTGTCAAAATGGTAAGTCAAATGGTGCTTTCATTTAGCTCTTGTTCGCAGGAATTCCATCTTGGAAGAGAAATCGCGTCACTGCTGCTTCGGATCATGTCACGACGTTTGCGAAGGAAGAAAGTTTGGCGGATACGGTTCAACGACGAAGACCCAACACGAGACGAGTAGATCGATCATCAATGCTTCCATTAACATCGCCCATCCTTCATTGCAATAATTCGAATTGTTGAGGATGTCGGCTCTACGAATACCGCCTTACCTAACGACCATTTCCAACCGAGAATAGCTATGCTTTGTTTTGCGATTCGATTATATGCGACGGTAGGCTGACAGGAGATTTCATCTAGGTCAATATTCCCAAGACACGTAAGACCTACTGCAAAGGCAAGGACTGCCGAAAGCACACCCAACACAAGGTCACTCAGTACAAGGCTGGCAAGGTAGGTTCAAGCTGATTCCCACGCGCCGACACCAGCGACAAATACCCGCATATCCCGACGCATTTCTAACCGATACCTAGGCCTCTCTATTCGCGCAAGGAAAGAGACGTTACGACCGAAAGCAGTCCGGTTACGGTGGTCAGACCAAGCCTGTGTTCCACAAGAAGGCTAAGACGACGAAGAAGGTTGTGCTGCGATTGGAATGCGTTGCTTGCAAGACCAAGCTACAACTCGCGCTGAAGCGATGCAAGCACTTCGAGCTCGGGTACGTCCATGTCGTATTATCGTACGAATATGACGAGACTAACTGGTTTCTAGTGGTGACAAGAAGACGAAGGGTGCCGCCCTAGTGTTCTAAACGCATTTCATACTCATGTCGTTGCACGTTCTTCTTTCGGGGCAATAGGGTGGTTTATCATGGCCGGGCATTCACTGGCGACGGGAGTCTTTTCGATCCTCGGTATGAGAGCATTAGATAGGTCACAATAGAACCGAGTCTGCTCTTACGAATTTTACGATGCCGTACGTGACAGATGCTAGGATGAAGTGACAACAAGGAGGTGCTGGGCGGTTACACCCCTACAGAGCAGGATTGCCAACTTCGATACTCATGATAGTACCCAATACCTCAATATGGAACTAGCTCTTCTCGCAAGTTATATGCTACCTATATTAACCGTAGTCCGAACACTTCTCTTGATAGATCTAAGGGATATGAGGCACTTTAGGCAGATGTGATATGAATGATGGCTATGTAAGATACCTAGGTACTAATGCAGATGATATTTTTTTCAAAAAGGGATGCTTTTCTTCAGCTCGAATCCAAGACCTCCAAAAGATAAATTGCATCCACCGGGATTCGCACCCGGGTCTTTCCGCTGCCCGGATTATGGGAGAAGAACGAGCTGTACTACTGCTCCATAGATGCCTTAGTGTTGAGTTGATGTTGTTACTGATGGATGTCTGAGTCGTCGACTATTCCTACTTATAAGGGTCTTTCTGCCGACTTCTAGCCGAAGCAAAGAGGACAGGAGCGAGTGAAGGGGGTGTGGTGGACCCGTCTTGGATGCGTGCTTGCCTGCCCGCCCGCCTAATGTGACTATGGGCTTCAAAGAGCGAGGTCTAAATTTCGATAAGCCTCTAATCGCGAGTCTGATGAATCAGGTTCACCAAAATCACATCATCCATTTTAGATACACCCACTGAGTACTTTATGGTATAATCGCCTAATCTTCATGCCTCAGATCTTAGATATCATGGCCACACTAGGGGATGATGTTCTATTAAGTACTCGAAAGAACTCTAAACCAGCCAAAACATATAGCATCAAGATCTCAGAATCCCTCACCCGTCTGAACAGTTCGACCACCGCCATACCAAAGCGTGCCAACGCGAATATCCAAGCCCTTCTCCTGACCGACCACCCACTCGCCCACCAGCCCCGAAGCGGCATTATCCCACACCTCAGCCTCCAGCCAAGCATTGATCTCATCGATAGCATCGACCCACCTCCTCCTCAGCTCCGGCGTCGCGTGGTCCTCGTCCGTCAAGTACCTGCCGAGCGTGATGTGCGCGCTCGGCACCACGTACCGCGAGGTGACCGTGACCCCGGCCTCCTTAGCCCGGGCCCACACGTCGCGCCTCAGATGGTGGTAGGTGTACCCGTCCCCCTGCTCCAGCACCCGCGCGTTATCAGGCGCCATGGGGGTGGGCGAGAGCGGCGGCTCGCCGGCGGCGGGGAGGAACGACAGCGCGAAGGCGGACAGGTCGTACGAGATCATGGGCTTGACGAGCCGCGACCGGTGGCCGTGCGTGAAGCTCGCGATCGCCGGGATCGCCGGCTTGAGCGTTTCCTTGAGCGCCTCGATTTCGTCCGCCGTTCGGGCGAAGTCTACCTCGAGCGTGGTGATGTGCATGCGGTGCGGGGGCATGAGCCATATTTCTGTGCTACGTTAGCGTATTACGTGGAATTCGCAAAAGGGGAAGGGGATATGTATTGGAGGATCCAATCTGCGTCCTCGTCCCATGTCCCGAGGTAGCAGAAGACTCCGATAACCCCTATCGAGGCTATGGTATTGGTCTTTTCGGAGTCTTCTACTCCCTTAAGACGCATTGCTGGTGCCTTTGAATACTAATATATATATTTTGTGATTTTTCTCGGCAGAGAAAGGAATCCTAGCTTACTTGGGGCAACAGCTTTGAGCTTTTTCTGAATTACTTCCGCAAGTTCTAACAGATGGATCGGAGGCCGACCCCAGAAGGTCATACAATATCTCGTATCTTTCTACTATGTGTTAACATTCCAACTGAAGACTTGGTGCTTTCGATTATGAGCCATTTTAGGATGATGTATATGGAAACTAGACGAGGCGCCATGGAAAGGAGATGTATTATGACATACTACCAACGCGTTAGCACTGGTTGAAACAAGTAGCACCGTAGCTGACTCGAGGGACGAAGTATTTATACTGACCGAAACCTGGTTCTATCTGTGGATTCTCTAACCGTAGTAGGTACGGGTCAATGATCAGTTCCTTATAGTCAGAGGCGAGGAACTTGTCTCTCTGCTGCGCATTACGTTTGACTCGGTGCGCAGCATACAGTGATTGGATTTTTGCCTAGAAATCCGTTAGTCTATGTTGTAGGTGACACATGGGACCGTGTCGCTCCATGTCATTGCCTTCTTGTAGGCTCGGTCGAGAGGTGTCGTTATCGGATTGTAAGAAGCTATCTACGCCCCTTGCATACCATGGCTACAAGATAAGGGTAGACTCAACTGATTCGTCATTGCAGGCTTCAATCAGCGCATTGTATGGGTTTTCGCCCGGCTTCAGGACTACTCCAGACAAATCTTCCAGCTTATTCTTGATGTCCGTAGATTCAAGGATGGGCCCCATTTCGAATCGAGCACTAGGTAGACGTAACGGATCGATTTGCTTCTTCTCTAAGTATGTATTAAGCTAATATGAAATATTTAATTTGAACAATCTAATTAGACATTTAAACAAGCTGTGGTGCGGCTGAGCTGCTAATCGCTCATCTAAGTGGGTTAGTCAAGATCCTCGGAAATGAGGCGTCTGAATGCGACGGCTGCCGCCAGCTACCTAGCTAGCCAGCCACAGCGAATGCCACGAGAACTGGCCCACTCGTTCTAAAAATACCTTGATAGAACTTTGGGGGCTGCTTATTGCATGGCGCGCTTGTATTTCCTGAACATAATAAACCACCCTTTGGAAGATTATAATTCTGTTAATTCAGCCACTTTGGATTGAGACTGGATGGGGCAGAGGGGATACAAACCGCCAAAAACGCCACTTCATGTAGGTATCCGTAGCGCCTCTACTAGCGCGCCTCTTACTGCAAGCCATCACACACGTGACTATCTTGACTTCATTCATTCAGTATCACAAACGACCTCCTTATACCGCTGATCCTATTCAGAGTAAATCATATAAAAGCAAATTTTACTACTTATCGAGCACAAAAGATGGTTCTTTTACGTGTCAATGCTCTTTGGAGTCCAATTACTGGCTTTACAAAGTAACATACCTATCTTTCGGTTCACTATTGAAAGAGGAATTTTATCACGTCATGAATATTGGATAGACTCTGATATTGAGCTATCATGAGCTACCTAGTATGAGTTCTCTCTGGCGTGAGCCCTGTTCCACCCAAAACTGCGAATGCTTCTGGTTCATGGTCCAATCTCTGGTTTTAAGATGTCTCAACATCTAAGTAATTTTTCGGTCCCCTTTGGATAGCGTAACTAGACAAGTTATCGACACCAGCACACTTCAAATCAATTTAAATTGTCCGGAGGACCCAGGGAATCCTTAATGATTGAGTGATTGCTCTAGTTATAAAGTTGATGTCCTTTGTGATCTTATCGAGCTTGATGCCTTCTGATATTTCAGAGATGATCAGCTACCAACTCATAGCTCTCGCTTTAAGGCCTGATGGGTACTGTGGTAAACTTAGGTGATTTTGAAGGTTCGGTCAGGCTATCAACTGATGCCCCTTGTCTCTCGGCTTGTGGTATGTGATTGTTATTGTGGTGGTGTATTCTTTCTTTGCTATCTTCTCGTCGAACGTCTGGTAAAGTCTTGTCGAGTTCGTTGACTAGGCGGCCATTATCACTTAGCCTCTTGCCTCTTGATAGCTAAAGATTGGTGGGTGCATAGTTCTCGCCCTCCACCTGGTTGGTCCCCGCCCCCTAGGATCTGTTGAGCTGTAGCCCTCGACATATTCTCTAGTTGACTGCCCCAACAATCTTCTGACCCTCCCCGTTACGCATACTGCTGCTATTCTGTAGCCCCGTTAAACATTGGATCCACAGTGGCTATTTCCTTGTAGTCGTGAACAGCAAACGGCCCCGTTAGGGCGCGGGTCTCGCGGAACCTTGTGACTCTTGTCTAGCTGTAACACGCGGGCCCGGCCGACCCCTTTCGACTGCCACCGCTCCCCCCGGCCCCGTATCCGGTCCACTTCCGGGTCGAGGGCCGTCTTTCAGCCAACCACAAGGCCGACCACGACATCATCAGTGATTGCTTTGACAGGAAACCCCCTTCTGGTTTAGGGTTGGCACCCACCCTCCTAACTATCAGTCGCATAATCACTCCCACCACCTTCCTCTTAGTACCCACACACCACCCTGCTTTCTTCCTAAAACTTTTCACTTTCCTCACCACAACATGTAACTTTCCTTTCCCCAAACCTTTCTCTTCACTGCACCAAAGTTTTCCATCTTCACATACAATCTTCATCCTGTAATCATCAAACCTTTCTGCCTCCGCGCATGTAGCTCTAGACTTGCAAGAACACGTCAAAGTAATTGGTTCCTTCGAACAATAACGTGTCTTGCAATCCCTAGACTGCCCTCTTCATTTGTTTTCCTTGATCACTTACTGGTACCTTCACATAAACCTTTGTGTTTTGTGGACGTGTTTTCCTCTTCATCATCATCTCACCATAACCTCAACACACACTTCTCTTCATTCCATCACCCATTTTATCACCACTCACTCTCTGTACTCGGATTCAATCATATCTTGATTCGAATCTGCTATCATGCCACCCAAGCGCGCTGCCCAGCCGCAAAAGGCGGTTGCTCCTGCGGCTACGCGTAAGCGAGGCCGCAAGGACGCTGCTGAAGCTGGCAACACGACGCTTGACAATTTTGTTATTAAGAAACCTCGAATTTCCCCTGCGGGAGATCAGGTGACCCCAGCACCCTCGGAGAACCCTTCGGGAGATGCTGGTAGTAAGAAGGCTGTCCCACCGGCACCATCGGTAGAATCATCGGAAGAGCCTTCGGAAGATGCGCCTGACTCCGTGGATGAACCATCCACCGGTTCTTCTCGTAAGAACCAATTAGATCGAACCCTACCCCCGATCACAGATGTCGATGCCGCCTTCTGGGACATGGCATCCAGATTCAGTGAAGTGCTTGACGAGGTACGTATCAATTAGATCGCGTCATTGCTATTGCCCCTCGAGTATAAATCGTCGAGTTACTAATAGACACGCAGAGCACCGGCCAATTCGCCCTGCGTATCGCAACCATGTGCTCCGGTACCGAAGCACCGATCTTTGCGCTGAAGATGCTTCAAGACTTCTGGGAGCGAATGATGCCAGGAAGAAACCTTCTCGAATTCGAGCACCTCTTCAGTGCCGAGATTGTGGGGTACAAGCAGTCGTACATCATGCGAAACACCGAAGATGCCATCTTGTTCCATGACGTCCAAGACTTTATAGACCCTAAAGAGGGCAAGGCGTAAGTCTCATTCCGTTTTGTACTTGTCTGTTCGTATAGCTGATAGAACCTTTAGGCCTACGGCAATGGGTTCATTGGAGACGATCCCCAGTGACCTCGACATTCTCATTTCGGGCTGTTCCTGTGTCGAATTTTCGGCGCTCAACACCTCGAAG